GACTATGTGATTCAAATTCCACGTTGGGCTTGAACCCACAACCTTGTGACTCTGAGGCGAGAATGCTATCACTGCGACAGGATTTATAACTTCCACCTTCGTCAAACATGGAGTGGGATTACTGGTTCTGGTACATTTCTGGTACGCACAATGCACACCATTGACAGTTGCACTCCCATGACTGAGGAGGAGTGTAATCCTTCATTGCTGTGTACTATGTGTGTATGAACAAGTAGATAAAAGCAGGTGAATCATGTTCAATGAGGTGTGGAGAGCTGACAGTCAAGGCTGTCAATATGAATTACAAGGATTATAAATAATAATCGGTAATGTGTTTCACATGGAAATGTCTCAGATTAATGAATGTTTTTATGTAGGCAATCACAGTGCCCCACATGAGGTGAATTTTTGACCAGAACAACCTCTCTTCAAATGGTATCTTTAACATCCATCTGACAGGCAGACGGGAGATTACTTTAATATCTTTTCCAAAGGATCGCACTTCCATCAATGTATCACTGCCCATGGAGACTCAACCTCAACTGTTAATTTAAAATCCCATCATAGGCTTAAACCCACAACCTTCTGACTCTGAGGGGAGAGTCCTACTGACATTAGTGTGTCTCAATAATAATAATAATCCTTGCCATGTATCACACGTTTCCAACACATGTCCTTTACCACAGCATAAACTCTAGCTCCTTTTAGTTACCTAGTTTAGATGAAGTGCTGGACACATGGTCTATCAGCAATGAATCCCCCCATTAAATTAGACATTCACTTCATGGCTGTTTGGGGGACATTCTTGTGGTCCGGTTGTGCTTCTGTGTTTGTGCACAAAATGCACAATCATTCCATCTATATTGTCTCCTGTGAAGCGCTTTGAGATGTCATGAATGTGAAAGGCACCTTACAAAAGTAAGGATTATTATTATTGTTTGTTAGAATGGGATTTCTAATGATCACCATCGCTTCATCAACAACAACAACAACAAAATTACATTTATAGAGCGCCTTTCACGTCAGGAGTATGTCTCAAAGCCCTGGACGGTCAGGGGTCGGGACCTGAGCATGGGGAAGGGGTGGGGTAGGAGTGAGGGAAGACGGAGAGGTGGGAGGGCCACCGAAGGCACAATCGAAAAAAGGATCTTGAGACCGGCCTTGAAGGAGACGAGGGAGGAAGCGAGGTGAACGGACTGTGGGATGGAGTTTCAGAGTGTGGGGGCAGAGAGGCTGAAAGCCCGGCCACCGATGGTGGGGCGGGTCGGGCGAGAGACATGGCTCAGGCCGGAGCCCGCTGAACGGAGGGAGTGAGCAGGTTGGTAGGGAGTCAGAGAGGTAGGAGGGGGCAAGGCCATGGATAGGCTTGAAAGTGAGGATATGTTCACTAAACAATGGTGCCATTGACCTGGCTCTTGAATTAGACATTTCTGCCAGTGTAATGTGTGCATCTTGTGGTAATTTCTGTGGTCAAGAATCACATTTCGAGCTTAAGTTATTTTGCAGAACTATTGCGACAGTTTTCTGACAAGTCATCTTTGGTTGTCACACAGGAAGCAGCTGACAGCACCTTATTTTAAAGCTGTACATTTGAACATGTTTACTCCCAAAAGCGCCACACAAGACACAAAAGTGTCACTTTGTGACGTCCCTCCAAAGTCCCTGTTTTTTTTAATCTGCTAGAAGATTAGAAATTGAGTAAAATACAAGCCACGTTGATGAGGATGAGCAAGAGAAGCCGATGAAATGCTCCGAGTCATGCAATCTTCCTTTAGAATTTTTTTTTTCTCTCACTGCACAGTTTGGATTTATTTTGAAAGCGTTCATGACTTTGGCCTTTCTCTGCTTTCTCTGAAGTTGCTTCACACTTTATTTCTGGTTGAGAAAGGCCGGTAACTTGATGTCATTCCCCATACCTCAGCAAGTGACGGCACTTAAATGGACTTAATGGAGTCCTGTAGCTCAGTGGTTAGAGCACTCGCTTTGGAAGCGAGAGACCCGAGTTCAATTCCAGGCAGAGGGCGAAACCTTGGGCAAGTTTCCTTACTCCACACAGAGCCTAATAATAATCCCTCCAAAACCAAAAACAATAATAAATTGGTCATTTTCAATCTACGACTGTTTGTGGGACATTGCTGTGCGCAATTGGCTGCCGTGTTCGCCCACAGATATACAGTCAATTCACTTTACAGTATATTCTGTGAAGCGCTTTGGGACGTCCTCCCGACGTGAAAAGCGCTATATCAAATGCAAGGATTATTATTATTATTATTATTAAAGGAATGGCCGCTAGGTGGTACTCAAGAGTAGCCTGTGACTTTCCTTCTGAGTTTCATGCATTCATTCCAATGTGAGCAAGTGCCTCAATATCTCCCTATGATAACAGGGCTGAGATTAGCACGTATTAATAATAATAATAATCCTTGCACCTTATCACGTCTTTGTGACGTGTCAGAGCGCTTCACAGAATGTACCGTGAAAGTGAATTGACTGTATATTTTGTGGGTGAAACGCGGTAGCTGATATTGTACTCAACACACAGCCACAACATTGATGTTGGCACATGGGACACTGATCATTCATAATGGTGGCCTTTGGGGGGAATCCGGGGACGTCCTCCCGACGTGAAATGCGCTGTACAAATGTAATTTTGTTGTTGTTGTTGTTGTTGATGTGCTACAATTCCCTGGTGCAGTGCCCGGAAGGACATCGCCAAAATTTCCATGGTGTAAATAAACTAATTCAAATGTCCATCAGGAAGTTTGCGACAATGTTCCTGGCCCAATAATCTTCACCTTTTTTTGCTCCATAAAATGTGAAGCTGCTGCGAGTCAGAAGGTTGTGGGTTCAAGTCACGTTGTGACTTGAAACTCAGTCTAGACTGACACTCTGCATTGCTGGAGGTGCTATCTTTTGGATGAGATGCTGAACTGAGGTCTCATCTGCCTGTTCAGATGGACTTTAAATATCCCAAGACACTATCGGGTGACTACAACAGTGATTGCTCATGTCTCTATACTTAAATCCCATATGGGGGAGAGTAGAAAGATCAGATACTGTCAAATTTTGCTGCATTATCAGTCAGTACTTCCTGCCAGCAGCTACTATGTTTTTTTTATATGGCGTCAACTTTGATGTCTGTCTTTAATCCTTCGTTAAAGGGCAAGTGCTGAGTCCACCGTATTTTGGTGCAATTGCATATTAATAGATGACTCAATGAAGAAATACAGTACTGTCTTTTTGGGACGATTGGTATTAAACATTACACAAAGTGCCACAAGCACGGGGCCTGTAGATTTACCCTTGAGCAATTGTGTGGAAATGTCATTTCCTGGTTGAAATTTGAAAAACAATCGTAAACCACGACTGAACTTGCCAAGGCACGTCTATCCTTAGCCATGTATCCAAGGCTTGATTTGGAAGCACCTCTGACCTGGCTTCCAGCAGAGCCTGCCGCTCATTCAAGGGAAAACTATCAATTGTCACGCAGTGATGGTCTGAACCATTGGAGGAGAAAGGTGTCCTGACTTACAATCCCCCAAATGACTCGTTTCATGGCTGTTTGTGGGACATTGCTGCGCGCAATTGCGCTGCTGCATTCCCCTACAAATACACGATCACTCCGTTTCACAGTAAATCCCGCAAAGTGTTTTGACGTGTCCTTCCAACACGATGAGGTGCTATACCAAATGCAAATGCAAGGATTATTATTATTAAATGAAGCAAATATCTCGCGAGAGTACAAACCTCTTACCTGAGCTGTTTGCTTGCTGTCCTGCCACCTCAGGCAAAGAATAGGAGCTCAGTGACAATAACATCGACTACAAATATAATCCCTCGATAATCCCTAAATTATCTACAATAACTGTGGCCTTAATAATTTGACTTATTAACAATTTTCTGTCTTTGAAGCACTCTGGGACACTATCCTGCTTGAGGGGTGCTATATAAATACAATTTGTTGTTCATTAGCTTTGCATTAATTCCTCAAAAGCAACTTGCAAGCCTTCATATTGAGGATAGATTCCAGTGGGGCTAGACTGCCTCTATTCCGACTACAAAACGTACAATTTACAGAAATCTGTCATTATTATTATAATTATTATTTATGGAGCATTTTATAGCGTTAAGAATTCAGAAAATGATAACATCCAGTCTTAACGCTGAAGCCTTTTTTCTGTATTTATTTCAAGAAACAGGCAGAAAATCTAATTTCAAAACCAAGGAGTGTATTTAAGCATTTACAAAATTTCTCGATGCAAAGAAATAAACTTAGTAAAATCTCGCCCCCGGGTGGAATTTCCTTCCGACGTGAAAGTCGCTGTATAAATGTGATTTGTTGTTGTTGTTTTTGCTGTTGTTGTTGTTGAATTCCAGCCTATATATATCCCATAAGGGGTAAAAACAAAACTCCTTTTCATACAGAAATTAATTCCGAACTTCTGGTCTCTGGCAAATAACAGTCAATAATAATAATAATAATAATAATGATCCTTGCATTTGATAGAGCACCTTATCGCGTCTTCGAGATGTCTCAAAGGGCTTCACGGAATACCCTGTATAATTTGTGGGCGAAACGCGATGGCCAATTACGCACAGGGAGCGCCCCACAAATAGTCGTGGATTGAAGTGACCAATTTATTATTATTATTATATTCTCAATACGCTGTAAAGTGAATGGACCCTATATATATTTGTGGGGTGGGGGGGGGAGAAACCCAATACAATGCATAGGATTATGTAAAGCACAGAAAAAATGTATCCAACAATGCATTGGGTTGTTTTCACTGATCAGTCACTGCCTTTTTGAGATTTGAATACCTTTTTTGTTGGCGTGAGTGTGTTTGAAGGGGCGTTGCCACTTTGCTGATAAGAAGCTCGCAGCCACTGCACAAGATACTGTCTAAAAACTTCCTGTGTTCTCTTTCCCCCAAACTTTTCTATTGGGTGCCAGGTGGCCGCATAAAGTCGGGGCAGAGCTCATGCAAAACAGCTTCGAGCTGTTCTGGTTTGTCATTTGCAACTGGCTGGGAGCATTCGACTCAGTGGCAACTTGTCCATTTCACAGGAGGTGGGGAAAGAAAAGTTCGTGGGAACGTTTTTTTATTCTCTGAGTGTGTGTGAGTTGCAGTCTTTTTGCAGCGCATGGATTTCAAGAGTGGGACCAGCTGATCGTTGACTTGGGAGGGAGCGATCATTCATCCTTCTGTCACTGGACTTGACTGACTTGTACATGAAGAATGTGTGAGATGTCAAGCTTCCTACATGTTGGGGACATCGTCTCCCTGTACGCTGAAGGAGCAGTCAATGGTTTCATCAGTACTTTGGGGTAAGAGGAACTCAAATCACTCCTGATTTACAGAGCAATCTTTGGTCTTTCTCTCACTCTCGCTCTCTCTCTCCCTCTCTGCTGTTTGTAAGTGTTATTTTGTTTTATCCACAGAGAGGAAATAGAACCTGATACTGTACACCAGGCAAAACCAGACAAAAGCTTGCAACCAAATGACTGTGCTGGGTCCTAATGCCTTGTTTCTCTCTGACTCACTCACTCACTCTCTCTTTCTCTATCTCTCTGCAATTAAATTTCATGTTAAGTGTAGTGCACTCATTTGTAGCTTAGTGGTTAGAGCACTTGCCCCGCAAGCAAGAGGACCTGGGTTTGACTTCCGGGATAGGGTGAAACAAATGATGGCCAAGTTTCTTTACTCCATGCGCCTATGTTTACCTAGCTGTAAGTAGGAACCCGGTCGTTAGTCGATTGGCGGATTGCTTTTCCGGGGGTAATAATCCCTTCAAATAATAAATACATAATAATAATTTGGTCATTCAATCCACGACTATTTTTGGGACTCTGCTGTGCTCAATTGGCTGCCGCGTTTTGCCCACAAAACACACGGTCAATTCACTTTCCGGTATACCCTGTGAAGCGCTTTGAGACGTCTCGAAGACGTGATAAGGCGCTGTATCAAATGCAAGGATTATTATTATTATTTGATTTATTAAGCAAGACACCATGGATGAAAACAGCCCATCTAAAGCCATCAATTCTTTGAGCTCATAGTCCAGGCTGACAACCCAGTGTACTTCTGGGGAAGCACTGCATTGATAGTGGTATTGTCCTTCGGGTGAGGTGTATTTGCCGCGCTTGTATTTAATTCATTCTTTTAGCTCATAGTCTAGCCTGACATCCTGCTGCCATTCTGGGGGAGTGTGCATTGGCAGAGGTATTGTCCTTCAGACGAGACACAGGTCTTTGCTGCTGGCACAAAATTGGATGCACCGGCATCTCTGAGGGTCCTGTCATTGGTTTTCTGCCTGTTCAGATGGATGTTAATGATCCCTTGGCGCTATTCAAAAAGAGAAGGGTGTTTCTTCCAGTATACTGGCCGATAATCCTCTGGATAAAACTGCTAATGCATTCTATGGCTGCTTGTGGGGCAATGCTGTGCCAAGTTGGTTTGCCTACAAATGCACAGTCGCTACACTTCAGAGCAATTTCTGTGAAGCGTGTTGGGACGTTTTGACGATGTGTAAGACGCGACATCAAATGATTAATAATGATGATTGTTGTTATATTAATAATGATCAATTGATTGGGTTATGAACTGTTGAACTCAGAATTCCTGAGTCAAAAGTAACTGGTGGAGTTTGGGCAAGTGGAAATATTAAACGGGTACCATATTAAAAAAATATATTTTGCAGAGTTCTTTGTATGTTTATAGCGCGTAAGGCTCAAAGAGATGCGTGTCAGTTTTAGATATGCAGCATATTTACTGCTTGAATACATATGCAAGGATTATTATTCAATTTACATACTGCATTAGCATAGCATCAGAAATCCACAGCAGAAGTACTATATGTGATCATGGGCTGATGTTGAATTGCATTTAAGCATGTCTCTAATTCCCTTCATTTCATTTCATTTTTTTTATTTTGGAATAATTTAGCTGAAACAGGGAATGTCACTGATTGAACCATCCCCTGTAAGTGCTCAAGACGTCCTCCTGTTGTGAAAGGGGCTATATATATATACATGTAAATTGCATTGCATCCCCTACCACAGAGAGGAGGCACTGAATCCTACAGTGTGAGGGAGTGATGGTGTGAGAGAAATTCAGTTAATGCACACCATTCATCTTATTTTTCTGTGAAATTTGGGTTTGCTTATCTGGACAATGTATTATTTATTACTCCTACATTAATATTACCAAAGCGATAGCAGAGACGTTAAAATCTGCGGCAGAAAGTTGCGCTCTTGATAGATCCTTGTTGGTATTTTTAAACCCAGAACAAAATAACATTTTGCCTCTAATTTTTGTGGTTGTTTCATTTTCTGAGCTCATAGTCCAGTCTAGTGCAATGCAGGGGGAATAATCTGGGGGAACATTTACAATTAATTTGTCTCCTTTGCATATATCTAATTCCCCCAAACAAGACAAATCATGTTTGGCAGCTCTCACACATTTCCTAGTAGCTATTTGCAACAACAACCACCACAACAACATTACATTTGTAAAGCGCCTTTCACTTCAGGAGGACGTCCCAAGGCGCTGAACAGTCAGGGATCAGGACCTGAGAGCATGGGGGTGGGTGGGGGGGTGGGGGGTGCAGGGTTGGGATGAGGGAGGGCTGAGGGGGTAGGAGGGCGGCCAAAGGCACGATCAAAGCGGGCGGTCTTGAGATCTGCTTTGAGGCAGGCAAGAGAGGGAGCAAGGCGAAGGGATTGTGGGATGGAGTTCCAAAGGGTAGGGGCAGAGAGGCTGAAAGCCCGGCCGCAGACAGTAGGTTGGGTCGGGCGGGAGACCTGGAGCAGGCCAGAGCCTGCTGAGCGGAGGAGCGGATGGGTTGATAGGGGCTCAGCAGGTCAGAGATGTAGGAGGGGACAAGGCTGTGGAGCCGGGCGAGGGTGGGGGTGATGGGGTCGCGGAGCCTGGTGCGGGAGAGGACATGAGCTGCAGAGTTCTGGATGATCTGCAGCTTGGGGAGGGAGGAGTTGGGGAGGCCGATATGGGGTAGTTACCGAAGTCGAGCCTTGAGGTGACGAGTTTCAGGCCTGACTCGCAGTTCATCTTGTTTGTGACCAACGAGGATGATGTAAAATGAAGGAAGTCCTTAAAAAAGAAAATTGCTTCTTCTATTTATAAGGAAATTACAGTTGTGGTGTGAGCTCTTCCTTAAATATATTTTTGAAAAATAAAAGGCCACATATTTATTTCTCTCTTAAAACAACAGGTGCACGTTCTATGTACGCAACAATGGGAATAAAATTTGCAGTGTTCAATAAGTTTACGCCACTGTTTAAGGAGACTTCAATATTTCTCAGCATTATTATTTACTGGTTTTAAGGCAAGACATGTTATTTCTTCTAAAGTCATCCTTTTAATATTTAATACAGACGATTTATTTCCTCGGTTATTACCACATTACACATGTTTTTGCCTTCATTATTATGTAATGCTGAAAACAAATCTTGATAAAACAACTAAATTAAACATATCATGTTTTGTTTCCCCTCAAAAACCCAGAGAGTGGAAATATGGGTCATGAACTCATTGAATTCCATACAATTATGTGCTGTTAATTAAATGCATAAGGTTAACAACCTTTTTGTTTAAAGATATTTTTGTACCAAAAAGAAAACATTCCTTCCATTTAATGCAGCGCCTTTCCCATCAGAATGATGTGCCAAGCATTTTACGGGTTATACTGTAAAGTGTAGTGACTATTTACTATGTAAGTAAATGTGGCAGCCAGTCTACAGACAGAAATGTCCCAAAGTCTGTTGCGAAGGGAATGACCAATTTTATTTTGGGGAGATTGTTCTCCCAGAACAACTCATTCTTGTTCTGGGAGAAACTTCCTTCACTCTGATTGCAAGATTAAGATTGTCAATGAAATAAGCGTGATTTGTTTGGGATCAATCTTATCAGTGGCATCGGCAACTTCCGCACTAGGTAGGACTCAGCCCCAGTTTAATAACAAATACTTTGGCTACAATATCATGTGTGGCTCTGGGACTTAGCATTTAGAAGCTGTAAGGAGCTAGATTTAATAATAATAATAATCCTTGCATTTGATATAGCGCTTTTCACGTGGGGAGGACTTCCCAGAGCGCTTCACAGAACACACTGTAAAGTGAATTGACTGTATATTTGTGGGTAAACGCAGCAGCCAATTGCGCACAGCAATGTCCCACAAACAGTCGTAGATTGAAAATGACCAATTTATTATTGTTTTTGGTTTTGGAGGGATTATTATTAGGCTCTGTGTGGAGTAAGGAAACTTGTCCAAGGTTTCGCCCTCTGCCTGGAATTGAACTCAGGTCTCTCGCTTGCAAAGCGAGTGCTCTAACCACTGAGCTACAGGATTTCTCACTGTGATAGTAGGCTGCTGGAAATGGACACGCTGTGTAACAGGAAAGCAACAACAAGTTGCACTTATTGGCTTTCATGTAGGATAAACATCGCAAAGAGTCTGGAAACGACATTGTGGAGACCTGAGCAACAATAACAACCACAAAAACAAATTACATTCACCCAGCGCCTTTCACGTCAGGAGGACATCCCGAACTGGTGGTTGGGATCAGGAGTGAAGGGTGCGGAGGGTAGGGGTAGGAGGGTGACCAAAGTCACGTTTGAAGAGGAGGGTGTTGAGACGGCTCTTGAAGTAGCAAGTAGGCCCGAAAGGTGAATTTAACGGTGTTGCCCAAAGCCACAGAAAATATACCTTTTTAAGATGAGTTTTAGAGGCAGCGAGAGAGGCCGCAAGGCAGAGAGATGTTGGGGACAAAGTATCAGAGAGCGATTGGCTAACAGTGGCTAAAGCCTTGACCGTCAAGAGTGGAACCGAGGAAGTGAGGAGCACTCAGAAAAAGGTCTCTTCCGTCCGGGAGAGCTGACGAGCCAACCGTTACTTCATAATAGTCACTGTCTGCTCTTAAATTGGAAATATTTTACAATATCTTTCCTTATACAGTTTTATATTGCAGTGAACTCTCCGCTCTCCCTGTTACACTTAGCCTCAGAGAAACAAGCAGCACAGTCAAAGCCAATGATTTCAATGAAGTAGATGAACACAAATGCATTTGAAGGAACATTGTTCAAAAGCACTTAATTTTTCCTCAATAATGTTCCAGTCTGTTTTAATGCAAAAAAGAAAGCCATGTTATAAATAATGGTTTACTAAAGTAATTATATAGACTGATACTCCAATATAGTGTTTAGGGGTGTAATGCATTGTTGTTGGTGCTGTCCTTGGGATGAAAATGTTAAACCGAGGTCCCGTGGGTCTGATCAGGTGAATGTTAAAGACGCAAGGGAATTATTCCTGGTGTCCTGGCCAATAATTCTCCAAATAAAATTGGTCATTCACTTCATGTGTGTCTGTGGAACGTAAAGCGTAACAAAGTGTAAACATGAACCAAAGTAGACTGCACTATTCATGTGCCAATGATATCTATGAGTATTTATAGCTGTTTCAGTTTAGTTTTGTTTTGATTGCCTTTTCTTACATCCCTTTTCCTTTAGTCAGTTTCAGGCATATTATCAGTTAGCAAACTGAATTGGTAGCAAGCCCATGTCCTTCCTGCCCTCAGAGTTGAAGAATTTCCTTGGAATGTATATAAAGTAACAAACACTAAGCAATTAAGCAGCTTCAAGCAAGATTTTGAGATGAGCGTGATTCCTGTGTGGGCTGGGTGGCATATGATGGATGACTCATGAATTGCTGAAATAATGGAAATGAGGATGAATAATGGAGGATGTAACGTTAGTCTGATTTGAGAGTTTATCTTTACGGATAAATGAAGAGAGAAATGTTGCGAAAATTCACAAATGGCAAATTAATACACGCGAAATAACACTTAAAACAATTGGCAGCAACCGGCGTCTTTCGGGTTTATCTTGATCTTGTTCGTAACATTTTATTTCAACGCAGTGGCTCTTTACGGATAAGCAGAGCACCAAAAATTACCATCCACACCGATCACTAAAATGTTCTCATTATTCGGTCAATCATACGACTCCCATTACGAAGACCACAATGGAAGAATCCCGTTCTGTGAGCAATCAGAATAAAATGAAACAACCCCATGATTTCAATATTGGCAACATTGGAACAGAGAAATGTCAAAGGATGAGGAGATCTTAGAGCTTAGATTAGTGGAGCAAAACATCACTGCAGACTTGTTGGGCTGAATGTCCCAGTTTTGCGCTGTAACAGTTTTTTTTACACACCTATTAAAAAGATCCAAAAGCCCTTGAGGCAAAAGATCAAAGGATAAAATATTAATCGACTGCTCCGTCCAGCCTGTAAACAAACCATCCTGAGGGAGATATCCTCTATGCCATTATATTTATCTTATATTTTCTGCGTTTATAGTTACACTTGTAGAACGCTTAAGCTTGTAAATGTCAAAGCTCTGCACAGCTTTCTGTACAGAACGATCCTACATTTTGGACGTAAAACATGATGTGGAATTTGTGGTTATGAGGAAGTGACTTTTACGTGTGCAATAATATAATAATAATAATCCTTGCATTTGAAATAGAGCCTTATCAGGTCTTCTAGACGTGTCAGAGCGCTTCACAGAATATATTGTAAAGTGAATTGACTGTATGTTTTGAGGGCGGAACACCGACAGAAACACAAAAATGTCTGTGTTTCGCCTCCTCATCTTAGGCGACTTCAGCGTCCACTTAACGGCTTCTTGCTCGAGCTTTGCTGACTTCACCTCCCACTTGTCGTCTCACAACCTCTCCCTGTAATTTTTTTATGATTTATCTTCTCAGTCACAGCATTCCACTGCTTCAATGATTTCGGTCGTCAGCATTAAATGCAATTGCTCAGCTAAATACTCATCATTCCATTCATTCATGATTCTCATCAGCTTCTTACTCAAAACCTCGCCGACATTTAACAAACATGTGCTCTTATCATGTTTCCTTCTTGAACTTTTTTTTAAGATAATTGGAGGTAAGGCCACAAGTGTGATCCATCTGAGAGCTCGATCTCAGCTTCTGTGGCAAGCAAAGGCACAAGCTCTACTTGCAACAACGTGTAGCACTTGAAGCACGCAGCTGCACCATTAAAAACAGACTCGACTGAAATTGCTGCTTCAGACATCTTCACAAAATCCGAAATAAATCAAGCTTAAACCCTTCTCGTGCCGTAGCGTCAAAGCTGCTATCTCGTGAGATTCTAGGTACAAGATGACAGCAGTAAAACCATGCATTGTCGCCTTTACTGAACCCTCTGCAGACGACAGATACACTCGCATTCAGAGAAACGTAGGGTTTATTTTTTTGGCACTCACGGCACTCATTTGCAATGGAAATTGTGCAAACACAGCATTTGACAATCACTGTCTCTGCGAAGTGCTTTGAGTCATTTCCCTATGAGTTCTCCGAGTGCAACTGGTTGATGATAGGTGCTGTGGGCACTGTACTAGGTGCTATGTGCTCGTGTTCTCTCACGCACCGGGCTCTGTGACCCCATCACTCCCACTCTCGCCCGACTCCACCGGCTCCCCATCCCCCAGAGGATCGAATTCAAGATCCTCGTCCTCACCTTTAAGGCCATCCATGGCCTTGCCCCCTCCTGCCTCTCCGACCTGCTGACTCCCTACCAACCTGCCCTCCGTTCAGCGGGCTCCGGTCTGCTCCATGTCTCCCGCCCGACCCGCCCCACCATCGGTGGCCGGACTTTCAGCCTCTCTGCCCCCACACCCTGGAACTCCATCCCACAGTCCCTTCGCCTCGCTTCCTCCCTTGCCTCCTTCAAGGCCGGTCTCAAGACCCTCCTCTTCGATCGTGCCTTCAGTCGCCCTCTCAGCTCTCTGCCTTCCCTCACCCCTCCCCCACCCCTCCCCCATGCTCGGGTCCTGTCCCCTGACTGTCCAGCGCTTTGGGAAGTCCTCCCGACGTGAAAGGCGCTCTATAAATGTAATTTTATTGTTGTTGTTGTCGTCGTTGTTGTTGTTGCACTGTATTTAACTTTGAAAAGTGTAGGTTTCAAAGCTAATCTAAGAAAACATTCCGTACATATTCTTTTCACATGTTTTATAAACTGACAGGGTCTTGTTATGAAGTAGAGTTATTCTACATGTAGTTGCTCTGGTTGAAAAAAAAAGCAAGCACGCTATTAATAACTTGTCTATTGAAGTACAAACCATGCCTTCTTCCTGCAATATCCTTTGAAATAACGTAAGCCCATTTATAGCGCAGAATGATCTGATGAATCCACTTGCCTTTCCTATAACACTGCTTACGTTAAGGCCTTCAGCTAAGGTCTATTCTGAGGGGTTGTTTGATAGGGTTAGAAAGATTTCAAAGGTGTCAGAAAGCTGGTGACTCATTCATTCAACCCCGCGTGTTTTTTCTCGACACGGCCATACTTATAATTTAGCGATTTGATTCCGGTTGTGTTCTGCATGTTGAGAGCTTCTTGTTTTCTTTTGACAGCTTGGTGGATGACAGGTGTGTGGTGGAGCCAGGAGGTGGGGACCTTGAAAACCCTCCAAAAAAATTCAGAGGTAAGTTTGGGCCATTGAGAAGGGAGAAGTGGAGAAAAGGGAATAGGAGGGGTTGAGGATCATATTGGGTATAAACACCAGATTGGGCCGAATGCCTATTTCCGTGTTGAAACAGTTTTATGTAATTCTTTGTAACCGTGCAATGGATGAAGATGCCGGACAATCTCCCCAAAATTGTGTGCTTCATTCATCTCTTGTTGTCTCTTTTCGTAACTAAATCAATCACAGGTAGCAAGTATTATTCGAGCACACAACATCATAATAGTTGATAAAGCATCAACGGCGTCGGAGGGAGGGATGTCTCAAAACGCTTTACTATAATGTGTCACGACTGTGTAAGTGAGTTATCGATATAAATTTTGAGAGATTTTCAGTTCTGAGCAGCGATAAAAGTTCAATCTCGTTGCTAATGTCTCCCATTATCCGGTTCCGTGGATACCACATGCATTGATTCGTTTGGATGATGGGGTCAGTAGGATTGGACGAGATCTCCTTTGCCTATACAAGTTCCCATGGGACTATTTGACAAAAGAAGGAACTTTTCTTTGTCAGAGTCCTGGGCAAAAATCCCCCCAGATCAGATTGTTCAATCCCTGCTTCTGGGACATTGCTGTGCACAAAATTGGCTGCCGCTTTCACTTACAGAATGCACAGTCACTACACTTTACAGTAAACCTAACAAATATAATTAAGTGCGGCAGAACTTTGACAATACGTTGCTGATACTGCCTTTTTCTTAAATCAGGAAAAAGTAACTCGTACCTACACTATTGTAATTGTAGACATATTTATCAGTTCACTTAGCAAGTCTGTTTGTTGAGGTGGAGGTGAGCTGTATGGTCACCTGTCAGAACCAACTTATTGTTATTTGCACCGAATATAATAAATATAATAATAATCCTTACATTTGATATAGCACTTTTCATGTCTTCGAGACGTCTCAAAGCGCTTCACCGAATAGACTGTAAAGTGAATTGACTGTATATTTGTGGGCGAAACGCGGCAGCCAATTGCGCACAGCAGCGTCCCCACAAACAGTCGTGGATTGAAAATGACCAATTTATTACGGTTTTGTTTTGGAGGGATTATTATAAATAATAATGGGTGCAATTAAGGGGAATTAAGGTTAATATTGCCGCAGGATTTGAGTCACTGCGCAAAGTTACATCTTATGGTTATTTTAACGTGAAGCAGTTCATCTTGAATAGCTTTCTGAGAAAAAATAGAGCATTGGAGTGACACCCAATTCACAGAATTCTATGCAAATATTCTCTGACTCTCCCATTAAAAGTGACTAAAGATATCAGACAACAGTTAGCAGTTTGGATAACCTGCAAAAATGGGTCACATGTCACACCTGCCGCGAGCTTTCTCAAACACACCTTTATTTGAATCAGGACAAAGTGCGGCCAAACAATGGTTTGCACACCAGTGGTCAAAGAAGTTGTCAGGATCTAACGAGATGAATGAGAATGGTTTATATGGCATCGTTCATCAACACTGGCCCTTTTGTTCAGGGACTTCAAAGGAATAAAGGGAAAAAAATATAAAGGGAACTCTGAATAACTCTTCCTTGGCTTAATCCGTAACTGCTACTTAAGTCATCGTGCTGTCAATATCCAAGCCGCATGTACTCTATTATGCCAAACTCACCACTCCTGATAACTCGTCACTGAGCTCTTTTGCTTTGAAGCGATGGAGTTTAGTGTCGAGCGTTTTTTCCTTCTTCAATTTATTTACCCTCTTAAGGTGGAAGGTTTCTACCGAGAGCAAATTGTCCGCCCTTGCCTTTGCCAAATAATTGCTCTTCGTGAAGGGAGCCAAGCTAGTGAATATTCATGGAATCGTCACACAGTATAACAATACAGCCCTATTCTGCCCTTGCCTGATGCTAATATGACAGGGCATTTTGTTTATTTGCGCAGTCTGACAAAGGCTGAAATCTTTCGCTGTGCTTAAGAGAAGCCAAAACAGACTGAGAGTTCCACATATGCCACCTACACGTGGACATTCCTGTGTCTGGAATGGAACACTGGGACACAGTATAGTATTTATAAGCAAAAACTCTGAACCCAAGGAGATATTTTCCTCCTATTGTGAGGGTACTGATGTCAATGCTGGTAGATCCATCGCCACCCAGTTGAGTTTAGCAATTCTCAGCAAATTTCTGCCCTCCAGTTAATAAGTAAGGATGAACAAGAAACGCTTTACAGTTTTGTGGGGGATAGAGTTGGGGAGGGTGGGGGGCGGGTGGGGGAGAGTGAAGAAGTGAAGATCACATTTGGATCACAATGTTTTCAGTAAATCCTGTGACGTCCTCCAACATGAAAGGGGCTATATCATAAATGCAAGGATTGATACGATATAAATATTAAGAATTTATAAGAAGTCCAGTAATTTTAGCTGTAATCCTTGAGAGCTGGTCTTTTTTTACCTTAAACTTTCTTTCATCGCAGACTGCTTTGGCTGTAATTTTGGTATGTCTTCCCACTTGATGTTGGCTCTGTGAATTCTTGCAGATTTTCTGGCCGGTTGCCTAAAGTCTTGCTCAATAAATGAACAAGTAATGAATAAAGTGTGAGACATCCTTTATCGCTGGTCAATTGTGTGAGTTCTGTACTGGATGCTGAGTGTTACAGCTTACTCCCACAGAATTCGAAATGCGATTTGGCACAACCCATTTCTTCTGAAAAGCAGCACAAGAAGAATGTTCAGAATCTAATTTCATCCAGTACACCCATAACTTCACATCTCTGCCTTTTGCAATTAGAATCGTAGAATCATAGAATCCTACAGCACAGAAGTGAGGCCATTCGGCCCATCGTACCTGCTCTGGCTCTTTGAAAGAGCTATCCAACTCGTCCCACTGGCCTGCTTTTTCTCCATAGCCTTGCAATTTTTTTCGTTTCAAGTATATATTCAATTCCCTTATGAAAGTTAATATTAAATCCGCTTACACCACCCTTTCAGGCAGTGGATTCCAGATCATAACGACTCACTTTGTGAAAAAAAATTCTCCTCATCTCTGGTTCTTTTGCCAACTATCTTGAATCTGTGTCCACTGGTTACCGACCTACCCGCCAGTGGAAACAGTTTCTCCCTATCTACTCTATCAAAACCCCTCATAATTTGGAACACCTCTATTAAATTTTCCCTTAACCTTTTCTACTCTAAGGAGAATAATCTCAGCCTCTCTAGTCTCTCCACATAACTGTGGTCTCTCATTTCTGGTATCATTCTTATTAATCTTATCTGCACCCTCTCCAAGGCCCTGAAATGTAAACATTATTTGGGATATTGTTACAACTTTACGAGCCCATGTTAATTTTGAGACAACTTCAAAACGTGATAAGACTCTATGTAAAATACAAGGATCATTATTATTATGCTCTAAAACAATCTGATGAAAACAGAAAGAAAAGTACAGCTCAGAGGAAGGGAAAGGAATTTACCTCGCTAGTCTATTTTAGACTAAAAATAGTTTGGGTAGGAATATAGAAGGAATGCCTCACAGAGCAGCTGGTGGTAATATTGATAATTATCATTCTTTTATGGGTGGGTTGGTCCAGCTTGAAGATGGTTGTGTAGCCCTGAGGGTCCAAGGAGGTGGTGAGGGGTTGGTGGGGCTAGGCGGAAACTGGATTCTTTACAAAGTTTTGAGTGCACTCAATACAGGCTGGGTCAGGTTCCTCGAGCCTCATCCATAGATTTACTAGTCTTCATTCAAAAGGTACCCTAAAATCCTTCACATAGAGAACGATCCAATTTGTGGAACTGTTTATAGACCCTGTACATCTGAGTTCAAAGCACAGTCCTCTGAAGTTTCGGCACTGTATTCATTTTGACCCAATTCCAAAGCTTTTTGAAGACAGACTTCAGCGTATTTTATCGGGCTATTCTACTTTCACCCCAGCCACATTACACAGGGAAAAAAACCTGTCGGGGATTCAGAGCTGCAGCCTGCAATGTAATATTGGAGCTCTGAATTAATAGAATCCTGTTGATTCATACTTATAATAATAATGCTTGCACTTGGGACGTCCTCCCGACGTGAAAGGCGCTCTATAAATGGAACCTTGTTGTTGTTGTTGGTATAGTGTATTATCACATCATTCACACATCATAAAACACTTCACAGAATATATTGTAAAGTTAATTGACTGTCTATTTTGTGGGCAAATTATGAGTTTATCACTGGATTAAACCGCTGGATTGTGTTATATTCTTGTCATCATCGCAGTTTTAGCTCCACACCCATGTTGCTTTTATTGTTAATGTAGCACCATAAGTACAGAATCTTCCCTCTTCCCTGAGGCACAGCTGTGATTGGTAAAAAAAAACGCAGCTCTATAAATTGGTGCTCTCACATTGATGTACAATACAATATAATTTACAAGTATAGAACGCCTTTCACATCAACAGGATGCCTCAGTGTTGTACCACTTTCGTGTGACTTAGAGCACATTAATTCCAAAACGATCCATTAATAGACTTGTTGAGCTTCAAGTTTGATACCCTTCACAGAATATACTGTAAAGTGAACTGTATATTTTGTGGGCGAAATGGGGCAGTCAATTGCGCACAGCAGTGTCCCACAAACAGTCATGGATTGAGTAATCAAATTATTATTTTTTTTGAAGGAATTATTAACCCCAGAAAAACGATCTGCCAATTGACTAACAGCTGGGTTCCTACTTACTGCTAGGTGAACAGAAGAGTGTGGAGTAAGGAAACTTGCCCTGCTGGTAATTGAACCCAGTTCTCTCGCTTGCGAGGCGAGTGCTCTAAACACTAAGCGAGAGTAGTCCTCTAGGATTCAGAAGAGCACGTTGATGGCGAGTTAACATAACCTGGCCAGGTTATGTCGTTGCTCAATGTTACCTCACTATGGAACGAGGGTATGCAAATCTAAATTGATTTTAATCACAATTTTATTTCCCAATTAGTTCAATGTAGACTCAGCATGTCTCCCAGTTTTGTAGACTCAGTTTAGATGCAGA